TATATATAAATAAAATTATATATAAGAAAACACACCTTAGTGTGGAAGGGAAAAACAAAAAGGGGGGAAATGGTGTAAGCTGCATGTATGTCTAAACAGCCCCCAATTCCAGTTACAAAACAGTAAAAAAAAAACAAAAACCTTTACCTTCCCTGATTGCGCCAAATCCACCTTCATTTGTGTTTCACATCCTCCCCCTTCCAGACACTACAGATCATAGTGGGAGGATTTCGCCAACAGAGGCAGTGTTGTCAATCAAAAAAGCAGTGGGCAGGAGTAGGCGTGGCCAGGTGCTGGTTGACAAGCTACAGCACTAACAATGATTCTAGCCACACCTCCCGTAACATTGTTTCACCCCACTAGTGCAAGCAAGCACAGTCCACATGAGGGGAACCGCTGTTCTGAACTCAGTAACAGTGCAGCATTGTTGTCACCCCATCACAGGCAGCTGAAGTAGGTGGACTTTAGGGATGCACCGATACCAAGTACCGTACTCGGGACAAGTACTTGGTTTTAATATGAATTTGTTTTTATAGATATATATATATATATAAAGGATGCACCGATACCATATTTGCAAGTACAAGTACTGATACATTTTTATGTATTGTCATGACAGTTTTTCTAAAACAATACAGACTAATGATTTCAGTACAGTGGTGGAGCGCCAGAGATAGGTACCAGCTACAATCGCTGCAACTCTGGTAGTTCTCGTGAAAATGGCAAGTATCGGCACTGGTATCTGAAAAGCATCGGTGCATCCCTAGTGGACTTCACTGGCGGGATCAACAGGTGTTTGTTTGGACTTTACAGGGAAACCAAGAGAGCACGGTCGGTGCAGATAAACTTATAAATAAGTGCTACATATATTTTGAAATGGCAGACAGTATTTCTACTTGAACAATGAACTTTGAGGGGCCCATTTAAATCAATGAAAGCACAGGGCAATGCACACTGCCACACACACACACACACACACACACACACACACACACACACACACTACAATGAAGATGTAGACACAAGAGGGGGGAGGTTCAGGTGTTTGATGATTCAAGGTGGACATATAACATGCACTATGCCAGGGAATCTCAGAGGAGGGACATGTCAAAGTTGTAGTTTATAATTCCAACATGGATTTCCTATAAACAATGTTATTTCACATAAAACTAATTCAGGGAACACATAACAACTGGAGCAGTTGACCATGGCAACCAATCAGCGTCTCCATGCTATCTTCAAAGCTGAACTGGAGAAGCCGATAGGTTGCTATGGGCAATTGCTCCAGTTTTTATGAATTCCCCCCTCCAATGATAGGTCCTCTTTGGAGTTCTACTTCTTCCATTACACTGATGTGTGACAAGCACAGACACGGACTATACACAGGGGACAGACACAGTAAATACCTGGAGATAAGGCTTTCCCCACACATCTCCTGGACATGCTGCATAGTTTGCATTCTCTTTGCAGGAGGGGGGGCCGTGCATACCACACAGCGCCTGCAGGTTAGTGCCCAGCTTACATGTGAGCCAGGGCAGGCCTATGCCAGCATGCACCCGGATAACAGGCAGCAGAGAGGAGCGCCCAGCAATCAGCTGTGATTAGCTTGCAGCTCTGTCACCTTCCTGTCTGTTCTCCTTCCGCACCACGTCACTCGCCTCGCGCTACTTCCCAGGGAAACGTTCCGCCCCACGCCCCGCCCACTCCCTGCCATTTATACCTGCGAGGGCGGAGAACCACTTTCCATGGAAACTTTCCCCCTCGGCCCCGCCCACTCCTTGCCTTCTGCGTCTGAGGGGGCGGGGAACTACTTCGCAGGGAAGCGTACCACTCCGGCCCCGCCCACTCCCTGACGCCTGTGCTTGAGAGGGCGAGAGTGAGCACGTGACGTCACCAGTTTTCTGCATATACATAGGGGTCCTTCCACACTGCAACTGCATCAGTGGCTGGAAAGTTCAGCCTTAGGGCACAAGGGAGAGTTTTGGGTCCAATAGACTTGTATGGGAAAACAGGAAAAATGTTTATACGCTTATTTTGGTGCTCCCATTTAAAAGTCTATGGGGCCAAAAAACGCTCAATTCTGCTCCTATACGTGCAAAAAAAGGCATAAAAACGTGCATGCATGGCAATGCTTGGGTGCCACTTAAAAAAAACCTAAATAAATGTACACATCTCAATAAAGGAAAAAAATGTGCATTGATTATTTTTTTGCATTAAAGCTTGTAAAGCATTGCAACTGTGCTCCGTGGTTTGCAGGCAGGGGCGTCCCGAGGCTGGGTGTCACCCAGAGCGGATACCGGGTGTGACCCCCGTCGTGACGTCATCGCACATGCACGGTCATCTTGGTGATACCTGCCGGTGGCCATCTTGGTGAAGGATGCCGGCAGAGAGAGGAGGTGACATTCACCCTCCGGAATAAGGTATGCCACCGGGTCCCCTCCTCTCCTGCAACTCTCAGGCTCTCGGTCCGTGCCCGACTTTTCAGAGGGGGTGACGCCAAAATGACTTGCAGTCATTTTGGTGTCACCCCTCCAATGGTGTCACCCAGGTGCGGGCCGCACCCTCCTTGTGACGCCACTGATTGTGGGTGCAATGCTCTGGCGCCTGCAGACTCTTCCTCCCATCCAAGTGCTTACCTCTATACAGACATGGATGGGAGGAAATATGAATGGACTACAAGTGCGGTGACGTCAGTGCACTTGTATTTCATTGAGAACTATAAGTCCCTCTGCTGCAGTGGCTGATGGGACGTGTAGTTTCTCCCTTCACATATCCTGTCAATGGATTTGTGATTGGATGATGTGGCGGCACAACGGGAGGGAGAATCTGCAGAGCATTGCACCCATGATCCACTGATCGTGGTTGCAATGCTTTATTAACTCAAATACGAAAAAATAATACATGCATTTTTTTTCTTCTATGAAGAAGTGTGCGTTTACTACTTTTTTTTAAAAAGGTGGACTTTACCTTTAAACTATACAAATGTGGAAAAGTTCACATAGATGTGGATCATATAAATGATGTGTTCATATTTTAGAAAGATTATTTTCTAGGTGTAGTTTGTAATTATAATTGTACATGGCTAGTGCTGTATACTGCTGATCATCTCATCTCAGTCTGTCTGAATGAATGGAGTTAGTGGTCTGCAGTCACTAATGATCTGAAACACCCACAATGCACAAAGTAGATGATTTTGCCTCTGCTGTAAGTGACTTGTCAATATAACAAAAGCAGAGAGCACAGCGCACCATTCTACTACAATAAAAATGTTGTCATTTATTTCATAAAAGGTGCTCAGGTGTGCAGGGCAGTGCGGCCGCACAGGGCGCCATGGCAACAAGGGCGCCGTGTGGCTGACACAGCTGGTCCTGGGGGCGGCTTCTCTCCCCCTCACCGCTGGGCGCTGGCCATCCGATATGACAGCGCTCCCTCGTCCGCAGGAGGGAGCGCACTGGGGGGGTGGCCACTAAAGGGTGTGGCCACTGAGGGGTGTGGTCACTGAGGGGCGCTGTAAAGCTTTCTCGCATAGGGCGCATAAAGGCCTAAGGCCGGCCCTGCAGGTGTGCATTGCATACATTACAAAGTGTGTCTTTCCTCTGCTTCTTCTCTCTGTTGGCTTCATAGAGCTGCAAAACCTTCCTCTCTTGTCACTTATTCCCTATGCTGTCACTGCTATGTGCATCGGGGCTTATACACACAGGCTTATACAACACTGTCTTCATATCCATATTGTGAAGCTGTTGGCCAGGGGTAGGCAAACTTCGGGACTCCAGCTTTGGTGGTACTACAAGTCCCACTAGGCATTGCAAGACTCTGACAGCCACAGGCATGACGGGCAGACGCAAATGCATGATGGAATTTGTAGTTTCAACCACAGCTGGAGGGCCATAGTTTGCTTACCCTTACTGTAGGCAATGGGCCCAATATAGTTGTGGTCAGTATTCCTCCATAGCGCTGAGCCACGTAAACCCAGGCCCGTCTTTAACGCAGGGCAAAAGGGGCAGTTGCCCTGGGCCCAGTTATTGTTGTGGGGCCCAAAGCAGCCGCCCCTTGAGCCTGCACTGCTCGCTCCCTACCGGGAGATGCGGGATGTCAGTGTCCCGTCCCTTCTCCCCCCTCATCCTCCTGGTTTCCCTTATCTCTCCAGAGATAAGACAGACAGCAGAGATCGGCAGATTGGGACCTTTGTCTGCTCTGCCTAGCAACCGATGACGCTGATGGGCGGGCTGTCATAATTACGTACTTCGGCCCGCCCATCACATCATCGGTTGCTAGGCAGAGCAGACAAAAGTCCTGATCTCCCGATCTGCTGCCTGTCTGCAAGTACCGTAACAGCAGGGGGGGAGAGATTTTGGAAACCAGGATAATGAGGGGGGAGAGCACGGAGATCACAGGCTCAATAACAGATTCTGATGCCCTTGCAGACAGGCAGCAGAGATCAGAAGATTGGGACTTTTTTTTTAAATCAAAGCACAGGGATCAGAGCCTTTCATGAATGCCTAGACCAGCCGGCCAGCCCATCTGCATCATCAGTTGCTAGGCAGACAGGGGGCTGATAAGAAAAAATATATAAAATAAATAAATTGATTTGGGATGTTGGGGTGGAGAGAGAAACTGCATGGCAGGTAGAAGAAAATGTTTGCCCAGGGTCCAATCAATATTAAAGACGGCCCTGCGTAAACCTAAAGTAAAAAATTGTGCGTCCATGGTGCGATCTTGAACTGGTTTTATGCGGTACGCATATAAGTATTTATGCGAACGTTTACATGCGTAAAAACTGCTGCCGTCCTCCTGTCACTAAGCAACACTTTGTGTATGCATCTCCCCCTGTCTCTGAATGGGTAACCCACAAGGCAGCAGCGGCAGCACAGAATGACCTCGGCCTTCAGTCATTCAGAGAGGAGAGATGCAAACATAAACAAAGTGCCGCTAAGCGACAGTATGCAATGGAGTTTCATCCACTCAGAATGATTAAAGGCCGAGGTCGTTCCCTCACCCGTGCCTAGTGATTAACACATTCAGTGATGTAAACATAAAGTGTCACTGAGTGACACTAGAAGGCAGCAGTAATCGCACATAGGGACATACGCATGTAAACGCTTTACAGTGTACAGGGCTGTAGCAAGGGCGAGGTGAGTGAGGCACTCGCCTCGGCCTGGCTGCGCCCCCGTAGCCGTGGCGAGCACAGGGCACCATTGGTAACAGGGGCACCAGGCGGCCAACACAGCTCGACCACGGCTCAGTGTGGCAGGGAGAACAGCCTGCAGCTTTTTCTCGGATCCCTGCTGATTTCCCCGCCTGTATGGGCAGAGGCAGCGGGGATCCGCTCGATGCTGAAGTGACAGCGCTCCCTCCTCCGCCCCTTCCCCCCGCCCGCCAGTGTCAGCGCTCCATTTCTCCTCATATCCCTGCTTCCTCTGCCCATACAGGCGGGGAAATCAGCAGGGATCCGAGAAAAAGCTGCAGGCTGTGCCGTTCCTCTGTGTGTGGCTGAGCGGCTCAGGATGGCAGAGCAGAGGATCAGTAAATATCAGTACTATTTATCGATCTTCTGTGTGCAGCTCAAACACTGGAGTGATCAGCTGATTACCCCAATGTTTGTAAACAACTGGGGACACATAGTAAGATTTGACAAACAAAAAGATACCTTGTCGCACTCCTTACCGGAAAAACCCAAAGTTGAATGAGGGTGGGTGCTTGTAGTGACCTGCAGATGGCGCCGCCACACAGCATAAAGATGAATAAATGACACCAGCACACAACCAGTATTGCAGTCCAAAGAGTTTGTTTATTGGAACGTCATGTCACCAAAACTAGCGCTTTCAGGGCCACGGAGGGTCCCCTTCATCAGGCTCAGCAATAAACAAACTCTTTGGACTGCAATACTGGTTGTGTGCTGGTGTCATTTATTCATCTTGACATAGTAAGATGTGTCCCCAGTTATGAATGAACAGGAAGTGCCTTACATCACTTCCTGTTTTCAGCGGAAGAAAGACTTCGAACCTCCGGAAGGACGCCGAACCTCCGGCAGCTCACTCGCTGCCTTTCGCCCCTATTCACATGGCAGTGAGTGAATAGCTGAATGCCGTCAAGCGGCATTTGGCTCGGCTATTCTGCTCGATACCTCCTCTGTGGTACCGAGCAGAATAGAAAATCAATAATTAAAGTTAAAAAAAAAAAATGTTGGAAAAAAAGATTTTTAAAATGTAAAAAAAATTGTTAAATGAAAAATAAATAAATAAAGATTTTTTTGGGGGGAAAAAGCAAACCAATTGGGTGGAGCTAGCAGTGACCGCTAGCTCCACCCAAATGTTTCCTATTGGCCGGCACCTGCTAGGTCCGGGCCAATGAATAACAACTGGGCGGAGTCGGCCATGACGTCACGGCCGGCTCCGCCCAGTTGTTATTGTTTAATGACAGTTCAGCGTCCCCAGATTATTTGGGGACGCTGATCTGTCATTACAACTGGGAGGGTGAGATCACGACTGG